CATATCAACGGTCGAGTTCACATATATTCAAGTTAAAACAACAAATTATCTTCTCTAACAAAAGAACCGACGCTGAAAAAACAAGAATTTTCATAAGAAAATGTAACTGCGGTTTAGTCTAACGGCCTCGACCTCGACGTCGTTCACGTCATTGCAGTTCTCGGTTCTCGTACGAATCGTATGTCTAGATTGTGGCTGCGTTCCGATCACAGACGGTTCCGATATTCACTGCCAGTTCTGAAAATCTATAGTTACATCACGTGCACTGCGTACATACAAACGAGGCTCGCGCACGTGACTCATCGCGTCAGCTCGTCTGGGAAATTCGTCCCGACTCGTCCGTTTTTCCCGTTTGGCGCGTCGCCGGCCTTCCGGACACGCACGACGAAGGAAACCGCGACTTCTCCGCGCGCGGAGCGAATTTATTTCCGCGCGCAATGACGCAATTACGAGGTAACAGTTACGTCTGATCACGCTGACGAAACGAAGAGTCCGTTTGCGTGACGGCGATAATTTGAAGGATAATCGATATACCGCGCGCGTGTACTCGATATGTAAATATAGTAGTGTCTTTATCTGTCTTTTTGCCTGTAAACGAGATAGCGAAGCAAACACGGTATTTCTCCGTCACGTGTTATTCGAGCGGAACGATCGTTGACGTATAAAAACAGAAAGCTTTCCTGAGTCAAGACGCGGTTGATCTATTTGCTTACATTGGACTCAGTAAGCAAAATATTGGCGATAAGTATATATTAGTGGATTCAGTAACAGGTTTTAACTGCTTTCCTTTTAGGAGACAAATCGAGCACAGTTTGCCACAATTAAATGGCGAAGATTCTAAGAAAAGTATCTATCGAAAAAGATTCTATCAAAACACTGGAAGCGTTCTTTGGTCAAAAACACACTCCGACTCTCTTCTCGAGTAGAGTCAAACAGTATCGATTGGGTTTGAAAATTTCGACTGTATTCCCTTGAAAAGGAAAGCAGCCTTAGTCGGATTAAATTGGCGTTAACAGTATCTGGATTAAACTGCCGTTTTGTCTGTGGAATCCGCTGATGTAGTTTAACGACAGATTGACGACAGAAATCGTCGAGCGTAGTCTGGTCGTTTCGTAATCATTTTAATAAACTATATTCCATTGCGACAGACTTTTCCGCGTCTCTAATCCACTGTTTCATTAAATTCTGTTAAATCCTTGCTGGCGTTCTGCCGACAAAATTTGGGAGTGAACGTTTTGCAAAATCTGCTTGTGACAGATTTGTCTATCCTTGGAATTAATCCAGTAAGGAAATATACGTATGTTGGCGGTATAAGATAAGAAGTACCTATAATAGCAAAGCTTATCTGTGAACGTCGTAACATTTTTGGCTGTTTTGGTTACAGACGATTTCTGATTGTTTCTGCGGAAATCGAGTTTGTTTTTTTACATTGAACCTTCTTATATTAAAAGAACGATTTCTGAGATGGCATACATAAAATGACAAAAAATTCCTCTTAAACAAAGTGATACCGAATTTTTCCCTGACGACTATCTTCCCATTTTTAATATCCCCCCATCCCTAATCTCCCCCTACTGCACAAAAAATTCTCCTTCCTCCATCCTTTACAGATTCTTATAAGTGGGATCACTTTTTCAATTTTATCAGTTGATTCTACCTTTCTGTTTGTCACAACAACACACTCTATCTCTTGTCAATATGCAACTCATTTTAACAGACATTCTACCGTACGTATTTTCTCTCATTTTTGACTTCTTTAATTTATATTCATTTTATTTTAGACACTGACACAATAAATTACATTCTACAACTTTTGTAATTCAACGTAATCGCATACTGCGAGCGAATTTTTTAACTGCACTTTAATTTTTTATACACTGAAGATGGTCTAAAAGGAAACTGAAACGTATGTTTCTTTGTAATTAAAATATATTTTTTACACTAAAACCTTGTCACGGCTCATAGTCTTTTTTAATTCATCTGATCGTTTCCTTTTGTTTGGAACAAATTTCTTTACTGATATTGACTATACTTTCACAACTTGATATCAATCATAAATTTCCATCTTTATATTATAGATAAAGAATCTGATACCAGATTATTTTTATAAAATTCATTAATTAGAATTTCAAAATTTTGTTCTGAAATTCGTAATCGGTGATACCTAAAACTCTTTTATATCGAGTTTTAAAAATCTAAAAAGACTATTGATTTTTCGAATATACTCGTACTATATGATCCGTTACCCTGGCGAAAATTTTAAGTGAGAGATGCTGTTTATATTTATTTATGAAGAGTTTTATCGATAGTTACATTGTTTATGAAGAGTTTTATTGATGGTTACACCGTTGGAAAGTACGTTGCAAACACCTGGTTAATTCTTTACTGACAATAACATTTTACAAACACTTAGAAAACTATAATGGTAACGTTTGACATTGTATCATTAAATGCAATTTGAACACTTGTAACCGTGAACATGTCATAAACAACTCCATGTTTAAATTTATATCTCACAAACAATTCAATAAATGTTTTGAAACTCAAATAAAACATTGACGCAATATTTAAACAAACTTCTTATAAACATTTTTTTCGCGAGGGTATATTGATTTCACCATGTTAAAGTTCACAATGCTGACATCAAAATCGAAATCACCGAAAACACTTCTATTTCAAGCATAAAAAAATTTGCATTATTTAATCGCAAAATAAATTCTTGATGCCAAATGGCGTCAATGCCAGCGAAGAGGTTACAATGTATTAACAATGTATAATTGTTATTGGATTGAATTTTAATACGTAAGTAATAAGAGACTATCGTGATGTGGAAAAATAATATATTGTTGCTGACCGCAATAAAATATTTCTTCATTCAGTACTTTTTGAGTTATAAAGGTTTGAAGTTAACAATTTTTTGACACAAAATGTAAAATATTTTATAAAATATTTAGTTTTTGGTAATCATAACTTTAAACCGATTAATTGGTCTCATTATTCCGCGCACAAAAGTATTAATTAAGGTTATGCCCAGCAAACACAGTAATGTAACATATATGTATAAAATACATAATAGCAAGTATCACGAGGTAACGAGTTATGTAACAAGTAACATACATGTATGTTACCTGTACTACAGAATGTC